ACATACACCAGGTGTGGTTATGTTCATGCCTATAACCTCAGCACTTGGGCAGTATAAGCAGAGGTACAGAAGGCCAAGACCATTTTCAGTGTCTTCATTGCTGATTCATTGCTGTTAAATATATCCTGACAAATTGAGTGGTGGTGCACACCTTTAATCCCAGCACTCAGGAGGCAGAGGCAGAGAGGCAGAAACAGAAGCAGAGGCAGGAGGATCTCTGTGAGTTCCAGGCCAGCCTAGTCACAGATCTAGTTCCAGGACAGCCAGAGAAACCCTGTCTTGAAAAACAAAGCAAACAAACAAAAAGACTTGACAAAAGCAATTTAAGGGACAAAGGCTTATTTTGGCTTCTAGGATGCAGCAGGTCTTGGTGGAGAAGTCATGGACCCAGGAACAAGAGGATGCTGGTCACATTGTATCCATAGTCTAGAAGCAGGAGATGAATGCTCTGGTTTGGCTGTCTCTCTTTGTATTCAGTTTCAGACCAAAACCTAAGGAAGGGTGCCTTTAAGATCAATCTCCCCCCCTTAACTGGTTCTCTTTTAAATTTAGGGTCCTGAGAATCAAACCCAGAGCCCCATGCATGCCAAGAAAGTGCTCTGAAACAGACCTCATGATGGAGGTGGGGGATTGTAGGCTTAGATTTTTCTCTAAGCCTACTTTATTTAGGGTTCCTAACCGCTTCAGCGTCCCTTCTAGCCTTCTAGGTAGAGGAGAGAGAAGGTTAATAGGAAAAGGGGGTTGTGGACCTGTTTAGTAGCAGTTCTTTGGGACAATTCCACTCTTTATCGTCAGGATGCCAACAGTCCAGTCCAATAGAAAACAGCAAACAGGAATCAGGAGCAATGGCTCAATCCAGCAAAACAGCAAGACTCTACTGAATCGGCACAAGTCAGCAGAGGCCAGAATCGGCTGGAATACCACAAGAAGTTCTTTGGTGTGTTTCTCTCTATGAAGTGAAGACCAGAGAAGGAAGACCAGTGAAGACCAGTGAAGCTTCACAGTGTGGCAACATAAGGACAACCTCTAACTGTTTATGGGGTTCTATTTATATTCCTTCCAAATATCACGTCTTCTCATGTGTCTGCTTTAGCCAAACATCCTCTCATGTGACAACTTCCAGAAAAACATCACGTGACAACTGAGTTTCCAAAGAAACCTGAAATTTCCACTTGAGGGGGTATCTTCAGGTCTAAGTTTGCCCAGGATGAAGAAGGCTGACCATGTGGTACAACCTTGGTCAAGCCAGCGTTTTAGGGGGCATTTAAGAATGGCACAACCTGCCCTCCCACTTGACTCGACATGCCCAGCCAGAGGTGGCCCATCAGACTACCTGCTGATGACGTAGATGACTATGGCCCTGACAGACACTAGACAAACAAGAGCCAAACAAAGAAGGCTTTGATGTAAGGGGCTGTAAAAGTCTAACGTTCTATTGTGTCTAACCCAGGAGTTCAAAGGTAACATACTGGCTGGTGGTTTTGTCTCCCACATAATGAATAGTGGGACCTGGAGCCTGGTGATAGGTCTTGTTGCTCCAGGGACAGACCTGACTGAAGCGGCAGGGGAATGAAGACAGACAGATAGACAGACACACAGATACTTGGAATCATTGTGTTTATTATATATAGTTGACCTGGGAGTCAGGGATATCCCATACAGATGGACAGATGGCAGGGTTGTGGCTTATAGAAAAACAGGGAGAGGGAGGGCTTGTGGGCACAGCTGGCTCGGAGGTGGGCTTAGCTAATCTCGGGAGAGCTCTCTGTAGGGAGCAGTCTTTGAGCCAAATCCGGAGTGGGATGTGGTGCACGTTTTCCATATACACTGTCAACACTCGGACTTGGTCCCCTGAGAAACCCACCTCTGAGCCGGAGCCTGTGGAGTCCTGTGCCTATGTGAACAACACATTCCCTCAGGGTTCTGCCTACAAAAGTGAAATCCTTTACCAGACGGTAGACAGGTGGAGGGCTGGCTGGAGCACATACAGAAGTGTTCTGCTCCATGCTGACGAGGGAACAAGTGGCAAAACAGAACAAGCAGTTGGCGTGTCTACTGGGACCCTCAAACACATTCCCTGCCTGTTTCCTGTAGTTCTAGGGAAGTGAACCTAGGGCCTTGTACATACCAGGCAAGTGTGCTTGCGGTTTGTCCCTACACCACATTCACATCTTTGGAATCAGCAATCTGTTTCTATCTAAATGATGCAAAAACCAAAACAAACAAAAACCCCTTAACTTTACAAGTAAGTTGATACAACAGGCAAGGCGCAACGGAATGAAACCTGTCGTTCCAGGACTCAGGAGGCAGAAGGATCAGGAGTTCAGTGTCAGCCTCAATGATGTAGTGAATTCAAGGCTAGCCTGGGCTATTTGAGACTGTCTCAGGAATAGAGAAACAAACAAGGCTGGGGCTCTGGCTCAGTTGGCAGAGCACCTGCCTAGTGTGTATAGTGTTGGGTTCGATCCCCAGCACTGCGTAAAACAGGTACGCTCTGAACCACTTGGGAGGTAATAGCAGGGGGGTCAGGAATTTAAGGACATCTTCAGCAAGTTCCAGGCTACCCTGGGCTACTTGGGACCATGTCTGCAAAAATTAAAACAAAAACAAATATGCTAACAAAAAGTTGATAATATGTTATGCACGAAGATGGTTCATTTTATTATTGTTTAATTATTAAGAATAACTTTGATGTCCTACTCGGTAAGGAAGGGTTATCAACGTAAGACATATCCACATAATGGAAACATTGCACAGACCTCAGAGAGACTAGTTAAAAAAATACAGGAGACACTGATATCAAATCATATATTTAGTGTGTTAACTTTATTTTAAAAGCATGTAAAGAAACAACACAATGTTAACAACCCCACGTCTACCTCCCTCCAAGAAGGATCGCAAGTGTTCTGTTATGACACCTTTTAAGCTCACTCCATTAGTTATAATAAAGGCAGGAGAAAATAGTGTTATTTTAATAAAAATATAAATGATTTCTTAGAACATACAGTCCAGGAAGGCTCCGGCTGGGGGCAGGGAAGCAGCTATGGTTTGTCCGACTGATTTCTGCCTTAGCTGCAGTTTGTATTCATGTAGAATAATGCGGCCACTTGGTCAGAGTTACTCATAATGCTTCGTACAAATGCATGCCACTGAGGTCACCAGATCTATTAAATCAGGATCTCTACCCAGGGCCCAGGAGCCTACGTCTATCTTCTATCCCTCCATTGTGTGTTCGTTTATTATGAGACTCACTGAGTAGCCCAGACAAGCCTTAAACGCTTGACCCTCTGGGTCTCACCAATCAAGTGCTGGGATTCAAGCCTGTGCCGGCCACTCTAGGCTTAGGGATTAGCATTTTAACAGGGTCTGCACATTTGAGTGTGAGCCCTCACCAGCCCACACCCTGTAATCCCAGAGCTTGGTAGGCAGAGGCAGGAGGATCACAGTAAGTTCACAGCCACTTAATGAGCCTAGCTTAATTAGTGGGGCCCAGGCCATTCATCAGTGCATACTAAGACTTTGTCTCCAAAACAGAAAATAAAAAAGTTGGGGGGGGGCACAGCACAGAGAGACGATGGCCTAGTGGGTTACAGGATTTGCTTTGCAATCACGAAGAGCTGAGTTTGTTCCTCGGAACTGTGTGTGTTACTGCACACACCAGTAACCTCAGCTTTGCAGGAGGAAGAGATAGAAGATTACTTGCTGCCAGCCTAGCTCCAGATCCTCTGAGAGACCCAGTTCTGAGATAATAAAGGGGCAGCGGGAGATGGCGCAGGCTACTGGCATTGTCTCTGGCCTCTGCATATGCAAAGAGTAGTTGGCTCAATAAGAAGACCCTCCCAAAAAAGAAAGATGACCCCATTGGGAGGCTGTGACTCTGCTCACTGGGAAAGGCTGTGACTCCGCCCATTGGGAGGCTGTGACTCCGCCGGTTGGGAGAGGCTGTAGACAGTCCACTCTCTAGCCCTCTACGATTTAAACCTGTCAGTCTTTTCTAAATGCTGGAGTGAAAATGCTGTGTTTACTCTGTCCAACCTCTTTTACAGGTTGGGTACCACACCCAGGGTCTTTGCACACGGTCGCTGGCGCTCTACCACTGAGCTCACTGTAGTTCTCCCTCACATTCTTCCAGTTCCCAGCACCGGGCTTTGGAGAAATAAGCCAACTAACCAGATAAATCACTCCTTTATAGAGTCAGCTCTTGGTGGGGGTCTCTCAAAAGAAGGGCATTTTGCACACGGGTAGTTGACAGTTATAGACACTGTCGTTACTTTCTTCAGATGGGGTCATGCTACACTGTTTGGCCTGGTACTCACTAGTTAACCGAGGCTAGCCTCGAACTCAAGCAATTATCTTACCACAGCCTTTGAGGACTAAGATGATAGGCATGCACATGCACTCCTATGCCAGAAGAACACCATCATCAACATCACCATCACCACCATCATCATCACTACCACCACTGTCGTCGTTGTCGTTATCATCATCAATATTATCAGCATTATTGTGTGTGTCATTGTAGAGTTGTTTCTTTCTTTCCACCTTTATGTGGGCTCAGGAAGGGAGCTCAGATCCCCAGACTTGGGTGCCAAGCAACTTTATGTGATGCTGAGCTGTCTCCCTGGCTTGCTTTGTTTCCCTCTCTCTCTAAACAAGAGCTTGCTAAATTTCCCAAGTTGGCCTCAAACTTGTGATCCTCCTGCCTCAGCCACACAAGTGCTTAGATTAAGCTATGGCATGATTACTTTTAGTCAACCTTGAGATCTCCTTTATTGAGTGGCCTAGGGAAATGATATCCAGGACAGAGGGTTCTTCACTTTCGGCTGCACCCTGGCTCGGGACAGGGGTGGCCTAAAAGGACTGTCCAGCCCTGAGACGCACTGACTTGTCACGACCCAGAGCAGCTGTAACAAGCCTGTGATGTCCCAACAGCCACACAATTAGCTGTCTCCTAAGTCAGTGAAATTCAACACCGCAGAAGGGCAACAGTTCAGCCCACACTGCTACTTCCTGCTTCCGGCGTTGCTCACAGCCTCTTAGGAGAAAGAATGAGCCACCCTTGGAATGGCGGCACTTGTAAGCATGTGGAGCAATCTGGGGGAGGGAGGGGTTAAAAAAAAAAAAAGCACAGAAACCGTGTGAAGCTCTGCTTGGAACCTCCTGGAAGAAGGGGTCGTGTTCTATCCCTGGGCTTCCAGGAAACTCTTTACCGGTCCGTCCCCTTGAGAGCATGAGGGCTAGGCTGTGTGGGGTGAAAAGTTAACAGCTACCGTTTGTGCTTGATCTTAAACGAGCACTGGCGGGGGTGGCATCTCCAAGGGGTGAAAAATGAGGTTTGGCCTGGGAGATGCCTCAGGCTCGGCGGCTCAGGCAGCCCCAGGCATCCAGCAGGGGAGAGGCGGGCTCTGAGGAGCAGACGACTAGAGGTCCATCTTTCCTGCTTTGGAGGGTTGAGGGCAGGAGACACAGCCAAGGGGTTAGAACTCATCCAGAAGGAGATGCGTTAAAGGAAGGCCTGCATCTTTTCCACAACGTGTAATTAACTCTCAGCAGAAGATGCTGTGGATTCATAATCGGAGCCGACAGCGGGGGAGGAAGACTGACAAGCATGAGAATCTTCTGGGGTTTTTTAAATTTAATTTTTAAAAGAAACAAGAACAGTTGCAATTATAGCTATGGACCTTCAGTGATGGTGTCTCCCAGCAACAAGCCAGATCCTGCTATATCCCACCCTCTTCCCAGGCAGAGCAAACGGAAGGTGGCCTGCCACCAGCTCCCTTCCAGCTCTGACCTGGTTCGCCTGTGTCCTCTCCTCTACTCCATCGTCCCTCGGCCTGTGGCTGCCCCCTGAACCCTGTTCTTTTATGACAGCAGTCCTTGAGTCACCTCAGCCTCCAGCCTGGGGCTCTCTGGGTCTTGGGAATCCGAGCCACGCCTCCTCCTCAGCTCCTGCCCTGGTAGCCTGGCTGTGCCCTGGGAGGAAGGGAGATGCCAGAAGAGAGGAGAGGCGGGGAGGCACAGGGTGTGGTAACTTAAGGTAGGCAATGCCTGGACGCCTGCCAGAGTCAACAGGCCACCCCCCTCCCAGGCACAAAGGGCTCTCTGTGAGGACACTCCCAGCCCCATATGGAATCCTGGAGGCTCATATTTCTTAACTTAAAAGAAGCCCATTCCCAGCCAGGTCTGGGTGTGGCTAGTAGTTTGAATCCTGGTAGGCGGGGCTTGTGAGCTCCCAGTGACCCATCTGGATGGTGTCTGTCTGTCCTTGCTGAGAGCTGATCTTCACAGGAAAATGGGGAGAGGCCAGACAGACAACTTCTCTTGAAAGGGTAGTTCTGCTTGCCTCTGGACTGTCTTCTAGTGTCTACTCCCCTTTAATCTCCCATCTGTCTGTCTGTCTGTCTGTCTGTCTTTCATGCTTATACAGATGCCCACGCATACTCCAAATGAATTCAAATGAGAGAAGATCTCTAATCAGACTACACTCAGAGCAGCCTTCTCTCCTGCTTCATGCTGTCGTCATAGAGAAGTTAAACTAGGACCCAGAGAAGTAGGCTGTGAACACAGAATAAGAGTCTGTGCTCTCGGCAATGCTTAAAGCTCCTCTGGTGACTGTGAGAATGGACCAGTCAGGAGGTTACGAAACCTTCTGTGAAACTTGTGGGGTTTGTGCTTTCAGGAGAAAGAATTGGAACAAGATATCTTGTGTCTCCTCAGTTCTCATCCAGGTCGCAAAGCAATAGGAATGGTCAGCCAAGCACCAGAGCCAGCAGTCACACAGCTCCGAAGCCTTGTTTCATGGGTTCTGAGGCCTGTGATAATCTACTTTGGGAGCGGCTAGCACAGTCCCTCCCTGGACTGCAACTGAGGCAGGATCTTTGACCATAAGGCCTCTGTGTCTCCTGAACGTTTGGCTGTATGAATTATAAAGGAGACATCTAGTATTGAACAGACCTTTCATTTTAAATTTTATTTATTTTTATGTATATGGGTATTTTGCCTGCATGTATGTTTGAACCATGTGTGTGTATCTGGTGCCTGCAGAAGTCAGAAGAGGGTATCAGATCCACTGGAACTGGAGTGTAAACTGCCATGTGGGTGCTTGGAATTGAACCTGAGGCCCCTGGAAGAGCAGACAGTGTTTCTAACTGCTGAGCCATCTCTCCAGCCCCAGGACAAACCTTCCTTGGGAACCAGCTTTGGGCCAGTAGATAAAACCTTCAATAGTCAGCTCCTAGGAGCTTACAGTCGGTAAGATGCAGGTCCTCCCCGTACTGGTCAGCTATGGTGCCCCTCACAAGTCCTCAGTCTGGGCCATCTACAGAAAAGAAACACTGTTCGGCAGATCTGTGGGCAGTAGTTTGCAGAGTTGTTTGCTCCTGAGGGCTGTGTAGGAGGATCTGGTCAGTGCCCTTTTCCAGTTCATGGTGCTTTAGGCATTGAAGTTCCTTGGCCTGTGGAAATATCACCTGACCTCAGCTCTGCTTCACAAGGTGTCTTCCTGCCAGAATGTTTCTTTCCTTTTCTTTCTTCCTTTCTTCCTTCCTTCCTTCCTCCCTCTTCCTTCCTTTCTTTCTTTCTTTCTTTCTTTCTTTCTTTCTTTCTTTCTTTCTTTCTCTCTTGAGTGTGTGTTTTTGTTTTCTGAGATAAAGTTTCTCTGTGTAGCCTTGGCTCTCCTGGAACTCACTTTGTAGACAAGGCTGGACTTGAACTTGGAGATCCAACTACCTCTGCCTCCTGAGTTCTGGGATTAAACTAAGCACCACACCTGCTCAGTTTTTCTTTTTCTTTCTTTCTTTCTTTCTTTTTTTTTTTTTTTTTTTAAGAACTCAGCCATTGCATCAAGGCACCTGCTAGGGGCCTCAGCCTAATCTGATCATTTACCAGACTGTTTCCCTGAGTCTTCCCTGGATGTCTTCTGGGGTTAGAGGGTTAGAATTCCAGCATGCCATTTTAGGGGTGAATACAGTACCTTCTCTGGGAAAGCCTGAGCTAGTGTGGAGGAGAGCATTGCCCCTAGGACACTTCAGTTTCTGACAAGATCTTTGGTGAATGCCTCTAACTGGTGAAACCCAGTCACATGTCCACTCCTCGCTCTTGTACTAGCTAGGAATCTAGTGTCTGACTCCTACCTGGGGGAGGCATGGAAAATACTATAGGCTTCCCCCAGTGCAGGAAGAACATTCCACCAACTCATCCAAACAAGCCAACAGAAATCCACTGCAAGGACTTGCAGGTTTCTTCCCAAGGAGTCCCTGAGCAGCGGTGGGATGGGGGTGGGTGGGACAGTGGCTTCATCTCGTCCCCTCCTTGTGCTGCCCACGCTAGAGAACCAGCATCTCATATTTAAGAAGCACTTCCTATATGCAGGATGATGTTCTGCCTTTATTACTCATTGGCTATTCGTGTGTAGTTTGTATGTGGGGCTGCGTCTCTTCCTCCGTCATCCGTTTCAAGGCTCAAACTCAGGTAGTTGCCCTTGGCAGCAATTGCATGTATTCTCTGAGCCGTGTCACCGGCCCAGTTTCTAATCTTCTGTATTGCCTTTTTTAATCCTTACTACAGCTCTTGAGATGGGATGTCTCTTACGTCCCTTCCACAGATGAGAAGACTGAGGAACAGAGAGGACCAAGAACTTAACCTAGCAGGTAGGAGAGACACATTAGAACCCTGCAGCATCAAACTGAACTTACTCATGGTGTTCATGGACAGACGAAATGAGAGATAAAGGCAGAGCCTTCCTAGCCATGGTCTGTAGACAGCAGTGAACAGTGTAAGCTGCTGCCCACCTCACAGCTCCAGAGAGCTGCCCCTGACCTGCATGTCCACTGTGCATCCCTGAGCCCAGGCGGTTGTGCTGTGGGTCCACCACAGCCTTGCCTCTTAGAGGCATTCTAAGTGCTTGAGAACCCTGAAAGGAAGGTAGGGAGAGAGGTGGGAGGAGAGAAGGCACTGGAGGGGAGGGGGTGGAGGCCAGCCTGGAGCCTCTGCGTAGGTGGCTGAGGAGAGACTACGTCAGAGGGTTGGCTCCTGAACTTCTGACCCTGCTGGGTGTTCACAGATGGCTCCCTGCAAGGGCAGGGAGGGCCTCACGCTGGTCCCTTGCCAGGGTGCTGCTCCACACAGGGCCAGGCTGTTCCCAAGCATCTTCCCTGGAGACCTGGGAGGGACCATGTGGCTGAGAGAGCAGGCCTTTCTAGCTGAGCTGCACTGGGAACGTGGTTCAGGCTCCTGACATGTCTAGAGGCAGAGACCTGGGGACTCTGGTCTGTAGAGTTCAGTTTTGAGCCTCACTATTCAAGTAACAGAGAAGCTGTCATGACTCTGTTTACACGAGGGACACCTGTCATTCCAGGGAGTACTTAGCATGCCCTAGCACTTGGCTTTCCAAAGGAAGCAGGGCGTGTGCTAGCATCTTGAGGGTTGGTGTTTGTAGGTCCCCCCTCTCCCCCCGCCCCGTAGGCTGGGCCCTCCCACATCGGACTGGCATTCTGATAGAGGCATCTTCTCAGTGAGCCTCCTCCCTATCCCCTCACCGGAGTGAGCCTCCCCCAGCTCTTTCATTCTTTCTCCATCACACACAGAACTATCAGAAATTTCGTGGTGGTGCACGCCTTTAATCCCAGCACTTGGGAGGCAGAGGCAGGCAGATTTCTGCGTTCGAGAGTTCGAGGCTAGCCTGATCTACAGAGTGAGTTCCAGGACAGCCAGGGCTACACAGAGAAACCCTGTCTCGAAAAACCAACCAAACAAACAAACAAGAAAAAAAGAAAAAAAAGAAACTTTGTGCCATTGACTTTGGGGGATAATTTAGAGGAGGCATAGCCACCAGAGGTGACAGGGGTTACAGAGACTGAGACAATCTCAATGCAAGAAAGATGGGTGAAGCTTGACCCTTCCGTGAAGGACTGAAGAGGGCACAGGGCAGATCAACCCCTTGAGTCTTTTTTTGGGGAGATACCATGAAGGCAAATATCTCCTCATGTTATCAGACCCAGCCGATTACATAAATGAGACTACAGGATTTGTCATCAGGGTGCCAGGATTTCTCAATGACACTCCCCAAGGGCAGAGAGGAGGGACTGTCATTAACACACAAACCCCTGGAGACTAGCCCATACAGTATACCAAACTCTGTGGGAGGAGAAGGCTTGAGGGCCCAAGGGACAGAGTTGCTGACGTGAACACACAAGTATGGCCGGTTCCCTTCAGCATTTATTTTCTAGTAGAAATTTCACAGCTACAGACAAACCTGTGGAAGTGGGAGTGGGATGCCATGGCTATATAACCTGACAGAGCTGACAGGAGGTTTCCTTCTGAGGGAAACCAGGGTTTTCCTGAGGAGCAAAGAGTAATGGCACAGGCCAAGCAAGCTTCCAGTGTTGGGGTGACCTGAGTGAGTTTTCTCACCACTTATTAATGACAGAAAGCCCCCTACTTCTGTGTCTCAGTTTTGTCATCTTTAAAATGGGTCTAAAAGCATCCCTACCAAGTCATCCTTCCTTCTTTGCCTCCCAGGGCCCCAGGGAAGCCTCCCAGGCAGGTCTGGCCCTGGCTCTCACTCTCTCCTGGCTGTTGCTCACCAGAAAGGACCCGGAGCAACTCCCAGAGTGCAGCATGGGAAGGAAGACCCAGGGTGTCTGCCCTACAGCACTGGAGTAGAGGAGTCCTCAAAGAAGCCTCGTTCCTGTTTTGGGGAGACTGCTAGACTGTCTCCCTGGCTTCTAGGGAGCCTAGGTGACTCTCTCCCTGCACCCATAACCCTTCACAGTTACCCAGCTAGTCTCCCTACATTAGTACTTCACCCTGGCATTACCCTCCCCCCGGGGTGGGAGGGGGAGGGGGATTTTCCCATGACCTCAGCTCTGGAGAATGTGGGGGAATTTAGTAGGGGGATGGGCTGAACAGCTGGGCTTGAAGGGAAGGTCAGAGCAGGCTTTGGAGTTACTGGGCCACTGGAGATGTGGCTTAGTGTCACTAACCCCCCCAGGTGGCAAGGCTGGCCTGCCATGTCCCAGGGAGCCAGGCACCTGTGATCAGGCCTGGTGTACTTAGACCTGTAGCCGGGCCTCTCCTGTGGTGACTGTCAACTGTGCCATTTCTGGGCTCACCTAGTCCTCTCTTCTGGCTTGTTTGAAGGTGTTTTACAGGCTCCCTGCTGCAGCTGTGGGGCCTGCCTGCTCCCTCCAAGGAGATGTTGCTTCGAGAGGAAGTATGACGGCTCTCAGGGCCCCAAGTGGCCGCCCAGGGGCCAGCCTCAGGGGCCTGGAGTCCCTAGGGACTACTCAACACCTGCTCCATTTCTCCTTTGCCCACCCTGCCTCAGATGGATTCAAGAACAGACCTAAGGTGGCCTGTTGGAGCAAACAGAAATAAGGGTAGCTGAGTAAATTTGAGCATCAGATAAATAACATTTTAGTGTCAGTACACACCCCATGCAATATTTGAGACATATGTTTAAAAACGGGTTGGTACTTATCAAGAATTCAAATTTAATCGGATGCCTGGAAATTCAGGCAGGCCCCTCATTTTATTTTTAAATTCTATAAATGTCCCTCATTTCTGCTTATTCATGGGAGACACTTAGGAATAAGAGCCTACAGCACACATTAATATTCTCCTGTTATTATGAAATTAATCCAGTTTTAAAGCTTTGGAACATTATTGATTTTTGGAAACATTTCTGCAACTTTTTTATTAACTTCATATTTCACAGTTTATAATAAAGACTTCCAGTGGATAATTTCTTTTTCCTTCTCTTTCTTATTTCTGTGTGTTGTTTGTGGAATGTTCTGCTAGCGCATAGAAACGCATTCTATTCTTACCTGATTTGAATCAGGTTGAAGGAAATCGTGTCTAGCTATGTTGCCCAGGCAAGGCCCAAACTTCTGGGCTCATGTAATCTCATGCCATAAAACCCAAACAGAACTAGAAGTGCTTGCTATCACACCTGGCCCTTTATTGCTGGTTCCTGCCCCCCTCCTTGATTTAAAGCCTAGAGTCTGGCAGCAGGAGCTCAGTGGGGATCCACACACAGGAGTAAGGAAGGACATGTGCTACTACAATGTAGTAGCCTATGACATGACACTCCCATGTCCTGAGTGTCATAAGAAAGCAAGCAGAGCGAGTGATGGAGCAACCCTGTAAGCAGGGTTCCTTCCCAGGCTCTGCTTTAGTTCCTGTTCAAGCTCCTGGCCCGACTTCCCTTCATGACGACATAAGCTGTCAGGTGAAATGAGCCCAGTGCTTTGGGTCATGGTGTTTTATGACAACAGTGGGTAGCAAATGAGAGAGTTATAACACAGAGTGGTGGGAACGACAGACATCTCGTTCTGGAGGTCAGGAGTGGAAGCTCAGGACCCCGGAGGTCAGGTTAGTGGAGGCCTCTGGGGGCGTGCTCTCTCGTAGCCTTCTGATGCCGCAGGAAGCTGATTTACCAGTTTTTTCAGTTTTGTCTTTTCTTTGAGTCAAGGTCTCGGTTTCATTCTGTACCCCAGGTTTGGCTTCAATTGTATTCTTCTTGCTTCTATTATGACGCACTTGCCACTGTGCGTGTAGCAGTCAGAGGGCAACTTGAGGGTCAGTCCTCTCTTTCCACTGCATGGTTTTTTGGGGGGGCTCAAGGCATCAGGCTTGGGAGCAAACACCTTTACCTGATGAGCCACCTCCTTATGGGTCTTGATTTAATTTATTTCATTAGTGTGTATGTGTGTGATATATGTGTATGGTGTATGTGTCACATGTGTGTGGTGTATATTGTGTGTTTGGTGTATGAGATGTGTGTGGTGTGTGGGTGTGGTGTGTGTTGCTGAGTGTGGTGTGTAGTATGTGTGTCATGCATGTAATGTGTTTAAGGTATGTATGTGTATGGTGTGTGTAATGTGTTTGTTAGCATATGTGTATATGTGTGGTGTATGTAATGTGTCTGTGTGTGTGGTGTGTGTATGGTCTGTGTGTGTGTGGTGTATGGTGTGTGTGAGTGGGATGTATGTGTATGGTGTATGTGTCATGTGTGTGTGTGTGTGGTGTATATAGTGTGTTTGGTGTATGGTTGTGGGGAAGAATTAGAGGGCCGCAGTGGTGGGGTCTGGGGAGGCTTCCATGCTGCGGCAGGTCCCACATGCAGGAGGCGGTCTAAGGTTCCAGACGCCGGGGGCTTTGCGGCAGTAGGCCCCAATGACACGAGGAAGTCCTTGGTTCCAAAAGGTTTATTGTCATGGCGGGTGGTAGGTGGATCTGGAAGTACACCCCGTAAAACTCAGTACAGTCCTGAAATATATAGGGTGGGAGAAAGGGGGAGGATCTGGGGAGGCATGCTTAATTTGCTCCGCCCTCTGGCCTTCATTAGTATGTAAATCCCTAGGCCCTGAGGCCTCTAGTCATACCCTCTACTTGTGCACTTTGGGAGGGGTTGTAATGGCTGGCCTACATGACTGAGTTTTATGGGGACTAGACTGCTTTTCAGGACCCTGGGTTCTTGGGGCGAGCCAATCTCCTGCCGGTTCTCATGCAGAGTCTCGGGGTTCTAGGCAACTGCCCAGCCATGACCCAGAATACCCTTACGCAGTCCCACATATGGTCTGTATGTGTGTGTGGTGTTTGTAATATGTCTGTGTGTGTAGTATGTTTGGTGTGTGTGTGTATGTAACATGTCTGTGTATGTTGTGTGTATGGTATGTGTGTGTATGTATGCAATATGTCTGTGTGTGTTATGTGTATGGTGTGTGTGTAATATGTCTCTGTGTGTGTCGTGTGTATGGTGTAGTGTGTGTGGGTTCAGGCACATAAGGACCACTGTACACATGTGGAGGTCAGCAGAGGGCTTTCAAGAGTCTTCACACTAAGCCTTCACACTGGGCCAGCTGTGGCTCCACCCTGGAAGGATTCTATGTTGTGGGAAGGAGGTCTCAATAGCAATCAATGGTCACCACTCCGTCTGATCCATCCCAGCTGAGCACAGCAGTTTCTTGCCTTATAACCAAAGCATGCAAGTGCTGAGGCAGAAGGATTTCTCCTACCAATCAGCCTAGAGTCTCAGGTCCCCAAAATACAATGGACAGCTCCTCAGGCACAGTACTTGAGGTTAACCTCTGGTCTATACACACACACACACACACACACACACTCACACACATGCATGCACGCACACACGCCAGCACACATATTAACATGCACACACAAATGTACAATCTCAGACTGTCTCCAGACTCATGGGAATGTGACTGCTTTGTAACCTGCTCCCAGGTGATCCTGGCGCATGGCTGACAATCGTGTCTAGCCTTGAGCTCACCTAGGCCTGGCATGGAGTTCGTGCATTTGAGTTGAGTTCATTTGTAGAGTTTTTTTCTGAATGCTGTTGGCTTCACTGCCCCAGCACCCGCCTCTGAAACCCAAGTGGCAAAGACTCTCAGCACTGCCTTCCTGCGCACGAGCACTTCCCCAAAGGAGGCTCTGCGAGCTGAGAGATACACGTGAGCCAATCATCTGAGCTGTAGCGGAGGGCACTTCAAGGATAGGAGAGCAAGCCTGTCCTTTCAAGACTAGCACAGCAGCTTGGTGCCCCAGGGAAAATGGTGGCCTAGCCGCCACTGTGGCCTCTGCTTCCCCTCATCCATCTAGAAAGAGGCGGGGCCTCTCCGAATTTGCTAAAGAGAGACAGCAGATTGCTAAAAACCTGCTCGCAGGAGGAGATGGAGCAAAGGCTCAGCAGGTAAGAGCATTTGCTGCTCTCGGGGAAGATCCAGATTTGGTTCTCAGCATCCCCAGGGCACCTCACAAGCCTCTAACTCCAGGTCCAGGAGTTCCCATACTCTCTCTGGCCTCCTCGAGCACTGCAAGCACATGGTGTATGTATATACTTGCAGGCAATACACTCACATGCATAAAAAGAAATACTTTTGTTTTTGGAGTCAGAGTCTCACTGTGTAACTCTGACTGGTCTTGAATTCACTGTGTAGACCAGGCTGGCCTCAACTGACAGAGATCTGCTTACCTCTGTTTCCCAAATGCTGGGCTTAAAGACATGCAGTACACACTGGGCACTATATGTGTGTGTGCGTATGTATGTATGTATGTATGTATGTATGTATATATGTGTGTGTGTGTGTATGTATGTATGTATATATGTATGTATGTATATATGTGTGTGCGTATGTATGTATGTATGTATATATGTGTGTGTGTATGTATGTATGTATATATGTATGTATGTATATATGTGTGTGTGTGTATGTATGTATGTATGTATGTATATGTGTGTGTGCGTATGTATGTATGTATATATGTATGTATGTATGTATATATGTGTGTGTGTGTGTATGTATGTATGTATGTATATATGTATGTATGTATGTATATATGTGTGTGTGTATGTATGTATGTATATATGTATGTATATATGTATGTATGTATGTATGTATGTGTGTGCCTGCTTATAAAATTCATCTAGCGTTCCAGTGTGACTCATTGGTAGGCCCTTTATAGTACGGGCTTCACCTTCAGCATTACACAGACAAAGCCCCCAAATTCCTCCCCACCAAACCACACCAGAAAGTGGCCCAACATAGATGGAAAAAATACAAGGTTTACAGGTAGCTCTCTGGATACCTGTACACTGGATACCTTACATGGTAGCACTTGCCATGAAAACCTAATGACCCATGTCCCATTCCCTTCCCAGGACCTTTCCAGATGGAGAGAGAACAACAGACTGTGAAGTTGTCTTCTGACCTCCACGTGTGCACAGTGGCCCCTCCCCATCACACACAAACAAAAATAAATATTTCAAAAATGTGTAATGCTTAAAATAATATCCTTGGGTGTGGCAAGTAAGAGCAAAGTACACTGGGATATGTGGGTGAAAATCCATAATGAACACTAAAAGTATTAATAAAAGTAAACTCAATAATATCCCCAAGAGGTTTTTTTTTTTTTTGGTTTTTCGAGACAGGGTTTCTCTGTGTAGCCCTGGCTGTCCTGGAACTCGCTCTGTAGACCAGGCTAGCCTCGAACTCAGAAATCCGCCTGCCTCTGCTTCCCAAGTGCTGGGATTAAAGGCGTGTGCCACCACCGCCCGGTGCCCAAGAGATTTCTATTCGAATCTCATTCCTAAATTCAAATTGCTGCTATGCTTAGACCATAATCTTACTTTTGGTTCAGGTTAGATGTCACCACAAAGTGCTGCTGTGTTTGTCAGATTGTTGCACCATGACCATACCCTTCACTGATGGTGGTGTTCTGGCCCAGCTGTGAGAAGCAGGCCCGCTCCTGGTCCGCTTTACTCTTTCTCAGTCCAGCTGGCTAGGGCAGACAGCAGGGCAGGCCGAGTTCCTTGGGACAGATGCTGTCTGATTCAGTGCCCTGCAGAGTAGCCCCACTGTGCCTTTCCCTTCGAGGAGGCGGGCTGTGCAGCGTGTGTGTTCAGATTGGATTGAAACTAATGTAGCTCAAGACCATCCCCCGTGATAAAACACACACACACACAGACACACACACACACACACACAAACACAATACACACATACACACACGCATGCACACATGCACGAACGCCCACACACACGCACATATACACACAGACATACACACACACGCACACATACATACACACACACCCACATGCACACACACATACACACACATATACACAGACACACATGCACATACACACATGCACGCAGCCTATGTATTTACAAGCCCTAAATAGCACAATAGCCGTGCTGTTAGACTCTACTTTCCCATGAT